CTCGGGATCAACGTCGTCCTCCAAGACCACATCGTCCAGGTAGGCCTGGATTTTGTTTTTGTGCTGCTTCGCAGCTTGGAAATGCAGCTCTGCCTGCACTCGCTGATCGACCAGCATGCTCTCCTCCACATCTTCGAGAGCCTGCTGCCGGATCTTCTCACGGTTCTCCAATGTGGCCGCAGAGTGCGTCTGTTCACGGCGCTTCTTGACGAAAGCTTGTTCACCGCAGTCCTCCTGGACAACACTTTATAAGACCACTAAAGGGAGGGCGGATCAGGCAAGCGCACACCTACACGACGTGCGAAACTTAGGACACCCATGGCCTTGGAGCCGCGCTTGACACCCTTGTCAAGGCGGGTTGTTGACCCCAAGCGCGGTTCCCCATACAAGGCACTCCACAAAGTGGACGCCACGTTGCAGACGGCATCCGGGCCACAGCGGTCGAAGTCGGACACAATCTTCATCTCCAATCTTTGGAGTTCAACATCCATGGTCTTTCTGTCGGCGGTAATGTGCGCGCGCTTCTGCGCGAACTGCCGCTCAACCCCCGAAGTCGTGCCACCTCCCCAGGCACCCAGGCGAATCAAGAGCTCACGAAGATGGTCGGATGGATGACGGTCTGCAGTTCCACTCCTGGCACTTGTCTTGTAGACTGCCTCCCTCCACGCAGCAAAAGAACCACAGTCGTGAGAGATGGCGTGGTGCATTGCGATGCGTCTGTGATCCCAGAACTCTTGCAACAACGGCTCTAGGGGCACGTCGAACGCTTGGCATAGCCTGGCCGCGCAGTCGCGCGTGTCAGGCAGGTGCTCAGCTGTCTCCGCACCGCGGTCGCGCCCTTTGACGGAGAGATCAAAAATCCGGAAGGCAGAGCAGATGTCTATCACTGGGAATTCTGCGACCACAGTCTCAGAACAAAGGTAGACGAAAGTCTTCATCACTCCCAGGCACTCCTGTAGGAGCGCCCGACTAGGCACGCCGCCGAGTGTCTTCGGCTGACCCCGCACCAGGAAGGCCGTGGGATGCTTGAGCTCCTCGAGGATATAGGCCGTGTAGCCGCAGTCCCAGACATGCTCCTGGAGCAGCTGCCTATGTCTAGACCCAGACGCCGAAACCCTGAGACAGCGCGCGGCACCCGAGCCGCACTTATGCTAAAATGCACCCAATCGCGCCTGCAAGAAGAGGTACTTCAAGCAGACAGCATGCTGTCTATCTCCAGACTGATCTCAGCCATCTCGAAATTCTCGCTGTCTAGCACACGCAGCAGAGTGATAACTTCATCGGCCGCGTCGCTCATCATGGCGAGCAACACGAGACTCCTGTCAGAATATTGGCGGTTATCCAAGCTATTGCTGTTGCTGGGCTGTAAGGTCTAGCTTTTGCAGGGGTCCTCATGTCGAGGAAGTCGAGAAAGGCCTCGGCGCGTTCCGCATCCCTGTCGCCGCGCCGATGGACTGCAGCGTATATGGCGGTCAGGATCACTGGCTTGATGTACAGTATCATTCTGCAGGCTGGCTTCTGTGCAGAATCAAACCGATGATGTCTCATCTGCAAAGACTTGATCCGCTTGCCGGTTACGGCGTGGGAATCCAGCTCGGAACAGTGCTTGGAGAAGACATTGCCCAAGACTCCGCTGCACTGGATGGTGTGCGGCATGGCATTCAAGCCGGTGACGAGGGTGCTGTGGATCGTGGCAATCTGGGGTATGGCGGCGAACGGACGACTAAGCAGCCGCCGTGTCGCGTGCGTTGGGTCACGTAGGACCTGCTTGGCGCCCGGGAAGAAGGCACCGCTGGCTCGCATCAGCCTGCCTGCCAATAATTGCTCATCCGACGCCGCATCCATGTCTATGAGTTCTGTGATGGTGCGCACGTGCTGCACCAGGTCGTCGTCGTCGCAGCAGAAGAGCCTGACTACCCTTTCGGTGGCTGCCAAGAGGCACGCATGAGATCCGTTCTCCAGATCCGTCAGGCCAAAGAGACCCTTTACCACGCACAGGTCGCTTGTGCACAGACTGAAACGGACCACGAGGGTCAGCTCGGAGACGTCCTGGTGTATCACTAAGCTCTGCGCGTTTCGCATGATGGTAGCGTCGATCTCGTAGCAGGCCAAGCCTGCACAGCGCAGCATGCTCGTCTGTTTTTTGCGAGCTCCGACGCCCTCGAGGTAGCAGCTCAGACTCTTGACCTTCTTCAAGTGCTGAACAAACTTCAGGAACTGTTCCTTCGACGGAGAACCTGCGTGTTGTCCAGTTCCTATGCACCTAGACCGCAAAACCCCAGCATTATAGTTATAGTTCCGTCCCGGACAACCCTGCAGAAGTACACTTCAATGAATAGAATAGAACGCCCGCCCCACCTACTGCGGGAGCATCTTCGCAAGCCCGAGTGTGTTTCAGAGACAGCGCATGTCGCTTGACGTTGGAAAAGTTGCCTGGTCCGGAGAAGCGCCAGCCGCAGGTCGCACACGACAAATGCCAGGAGCTCGTAGTCTTGTCAACTGAGGATCTGAGCCACGGAAGCTTCATGTGCCAGCTCTGAAAGTTTCTGATGTAGAGACACCTGAAGCACTCATCATCTGAGCACTCTTCGAAGTGCTTCATGTGAGCAGTCAGGATGCTCGTATCCAACATGACTCAGGGAAGTCAGAATTACTCAGAGTCAGAGCAGCTAGAAGGGTTAGAGCCGCAAAGGCTTCAGGCCCCGAAAACGATCAAGCTGACTCCCAGGCACGGCACTCAGACACTCAGCAGCTCTCCTGTCACTCATTGGGTGCAGCATGCCAGGCAGACCTGCGTTCCACAGCCGATGCCGTCTCACAGCCCAAGAAGCCTGCAGACAACATAGAAGCATGCCCAAAGGAGACCGACTCGGCAGGGCGAATGCATTGCATGGGTCCATGTGGCAGAAGTGGCTGCAGCATGTGCGAAACAGCGTGCACCCGAAGTACTTCCTGGTGTTGTACCTCACGCAGGCACTATGCATTCGAGTCAGCCAGGCCTTGCTCCTCACCAACGATTGCTTCGATCTGCAAGGGAGGCGAGTGTACCTCCAGTGCTTCAAACGGCACGCTGCTGTGTGGAAACCTCTGCTACCCTCCGTGCTCAAGTTTCTGCTGCAGTGCAAAAGGAAGGGCATCCACAACAAGCAAGGTGCAAAGTGGACTTGGCCGGCAAACAAAAAATCTTGGCTATTCCCCTCGCGCAGGGGATCGAAACGCCCCCATGTGAGCAAAGACGTGCTGTGCCACGTGGTGGGCACCGTGCGCAAGTCATTCTTGAAGAGGCATCCCAGCCTGCAGGGTGACAAGAGCATCCGGACACATTCAGGACGCAGGCACTCCATTTCAAGTCTTGCAGCTGCAGGAGTACCAGCTGACGTGGGCATGTGCTGGGCACAAATTTCTAGCGCAAAAGTCTATCGTCAATATGTGGACTGTCAGCCAGCCCATGTAGAAGCCCAGATGCAGAAGTTTGATCGCACGCATCGAGTGGGCAAAGCCAGAGGCTAAGCCGCTACCGACAATTATCCGAGAAGCTACTGGGCAGATGCGCCTGTGCATGGGAGTCTGTGTATGCTGCATATATGCGTGCTCTCTCTCTCTCTCTCTCTGCCTGCGTCTGCCTGTAGTTCTGTGTCATCCCGAAGCCAGCCGGCCACGACCTGATCCAGAAGCTAGGCAAGAGACAGGGGCTTCTGTTCTTATCGTGGCTTCGGGAAGATGCGAAGGACCAATGATTCAGCTAACGATTCCGCGGTGATTGAAAAGGGATGACGCCTTTTGGGCCCGAAAGGCGCCTTGTGCTTCTGTCTAAGGCATACTTTAAAGTCCAAATAAAAACCCTAAAATCCTGAACCCTACATTTCAAAAAAACCTCTGTATGGCACCCGAAAGGCGCCTTGTGCTTCCACAAACCCCTACTTTAAAGTCCAAACCCTGCACCAGAAGTGTCGAGAAGCCCATCTCTAAAGCCATGCGATACTTAAGTTTGGGGAATGAGCAGATGAAAAGAGCCTAGCATGGTCTCGCTGACTGAGGTTGAGGAAGTTGGGGCCCGCGCGTGACATGGTGAGGTCGGCCAAAAGCCAAGTCCTCATTACTCGCAGCATACAGACAAAACTCATTGATAGGAGGACAGAGCTCAGCGGGTGTGTCGAATGCCGGGCCCACTTGATGCTATTGCGGAGAAGCAGTTGCCATGCAGAATCACCAGTGCCTATAAGGAAATATTTTGCGTTAAGTATCGGATCTAAATTCTAAACCCCAAACCTTAAACCCTGACACCTATGAGAGCGTAAACCCTGACACCTAAAGCCTTGAAAAAAAACACCCGACAGCTCCTGAGCTGCGATCTTATCTTCAGAAGACCAACACTCTGCCGCAGTGCCCTGAATGCCGCAGTGCCCTGAATGCCAGAGGCATCTTGTCAGTGACAGGATTCAAAATGCAGTTCATGTAACTGTGACAAAAAGAAGTTGCCCTCAAACCCCCAACTCCAAACCCTAAACGCATCCCCAAATGGTCTCCGCGCTGGTGGCCTCCCAGGTCTTCTACCAGAAGAGTTCCGACCTCGGACCATGCTGGGCTCTTCTCATCTGCTCAGTGCACTTGCAGATCGCATTCGGACATAGCATGACCACGAGAAAGACTTGCTGCGAAACACTTTTTTTTGTCAGCGCTGGCTTGTCCAAGCGGAAGAGCATGACAGCACCTGATACGCAGGGTCAATACGACTGACGAACAAGGCGAGAATCCAAGACACGCAAGTCAACAACGATTTTTGGCTTGGCCAGGTGCCGTGGCTTCCGGAAGCAGGCCGGCTCCTAGTCGAAGTCGCTGGCGGCCTACGTCGGGATTGTTCGCGACTGCGCAAACTGCTGTATAGGCCAAAGGCTACCAGGGGAAGCAAGTCGGTGCCTCAGAGTCGGAACGGTTGGCAGGGCTCGTTGGTGATGGCCGGTCCTGTAATTACAGCATGAAGTCAAGTGTTGATATCAGACATGCAAACTGCCAGCAGATCTGTGTCCTCCTTAACATTGATCACCTGGTCGTCGGGCTTTCCTTCCTGCAAGGCGGAGATTACGGGCCTGTGCAGACCAACTGGAATAACAAAGGCCGGGTCCTTGGGTGCCGCGGTCCGCTGGGAGATTTTCATGGCGAACATTTCCTCCAGAGCAGGTGTTAGTCATTGATTTTATGCGGCTGCGTACATGTCTGGCCTGTAGCATCTTCATCTCAGATCGGAGTGCGTCCTGAGACACTGAACATTTCGCACACACTTCGTCTTGGGAAGCCCGCTCCCTTGGCAGCCTCCTGACTCTCCATCTTCATGTACTCCGAACCTTGCTCGAGCAGCTTCTTGCTCATGGTCTCCTGACATCGGACCAATTGAAGTTAAGGGCTATGCTGCGACGAACAGACATGCGAAGATCCCGAAGCCGCCTCCTCCATCAGGAGCTCTACACTTCGGGTGGTCGCGGCGAGGAGCTCCGATCTCAGATGCTTCGTGGTTGCCTCGTTGCAGCGTACCAAGTAGGCCAGGCTAGGTCTAATTACGACAGGGTTTGGAACCTCGGCGTCGGCTTCCGCCTTCTTCGTTTCGGCGAGCTCCGATTGAAGTTGCTTGATTGTCGCCTCGCTGCAGCTTAGGCTTAGACGCACCACGAAATATATCGAACATGCCCGCCTTGGCTCTGTCCTCCTTGCCGAGCTTGACTTGAATGTCCTTCTCCAAAGCCGACAGTAGAGCTTTGTGTTTCTTCTCCGACTCTTGGCTTTTGTCCAGACTTTCCCGGAGAATGCGGCACGACATCCGTGCTTCGTCCTGGCACCGTGCGCTGGCATTCTCAGGACACACTCGCAAAAAGTCTACACGAATCTGCCTGGCCTTCAGCTTCATCTCCTCCTCATGCTTCTCGGTCATTTCCTTGAGGCCCGTCCGCAAGAAAGTGGCGTTCCGAATATCCTCGGCCCTCTGCTTGGTCGACTCCTGGGTTGCAGTCTGCAAAGCTGCCTCCAGCTTTGCCTTCTCCTCTTGCAGAAGCTTCTTGTCTCCTTGGAGCTCCGCGATCCTCTCGTCGGAAACCTGGTCCACAGGGCCCGTCAGTAGCGATCAGTGCAAACTCTGAGTGACTGGCCTTGTCCTGCTTGGCGGCTGCCGCCAGACCAACCGCCTGGTGCCCGGCGAGGTCCTGGACATTTTGACGGCATGCTGCGTTGCCGCAATAACATGATACACCGCACGCCTGAGACTGCTTCATCTTCTGCTGGGCCGCTGCTGCAGCCTTGGCCCGATATCATCTCACGGCTATTGTCCTTGTCACTTTAATTTTGCGCCTCCTCCAGCTCTTTGTTCTTCTGCCTTAGAGACGCCATCTGGTCCTTGAGCTTTGTCTGGTCCTGCCAGTCAGCAGAGCGTTTACGGAATCCTGCCCGCACCAAGAAGTCAGCAATCACGGATCCCAGCACCGGGCCTCAACGCCCGACGACAGAGCGCTCAGCATCGTGTAGGCCTGCAAGGACTTCTGCTCCGCATCCGTCGCCCTGTCCACCAGGTTGTCCATTTCTTTTTGCATGCGCTTTACTTGCGCTAGAAGCGGGGCTCGGATTTGCTCCCTATAGCTCTGGCTTTTGGACCAATGTCGGCAGTCTTCCTGCCAGTCTTCCTGCCAGTCTTTCTTCCGCTTCGACTTGCTGCCATCACGGCTGCCGCGGGGTTCTTCTGGCTCCACCCAGTAGTCCGGCTTGGACTTGTCACCTTTGCCACTGGGCTCCTCCGGCTTTTCCTGCCAGTGGGCCCACTCGTCCCACTGAGCTTTCTCCCAGCCGCTTCCCCGAGACATGATCGCGAGCGCGCACTCACACGGACCTAGTTTCGAAACAATCGTATGATGTACTGCATCTTCGCTTTGAACCTCTTTGAGCATCTGTCTAAAGCATGATTGCACGTTGCGCTGTCACAGATGTTGCCTACCCCCCAGAGCATGATGCTGGAGTTCTAGGAAGAACCTGAAAACAATGCAGACATGTCTCTGCTGCTCCTAGGCCCCTGAGCTTGGGCAACATGCTCTCTGTCAATGCAGTGTACATCCAACACAGCTAAAGCACAACTCACAGGCGCTCATGTCGTCACTTGTAAGAGACTGCTGGTGCGCACCGGGAATGTGAGGCCCGAGCAGACCAGCGACGAGCAAGGATACGAAGTCCGGCCGGCCCCTGAGCTTGGGCAACATGCTCTCTGTCAATGCAGTGTACATCCAACACAGCTGAAGCACAACTCACAGGTGCTCATGTCCTACAAAACCGTCACTTGCAAAAGAATGCTGGTGCGCACCGGGAATGTGAGGCCCGAGCAGACCAGCGACGAGCGCTCTCACAGCGCTTTACCCCAGCGCTCTCACAGCGCCCACTCGGGGCTCCTTATTGCTGCAAACCCGCGCTCTCACAGCGCTCAACCCCCGCGCTCTCACAGCGCCTTCTCAGGCTCCGTGGGCTCCTTGCTTGCTGCAACCCGCGCTCTCACAGCGCTCAAGCCCCGCGCTCTCACAGCGCCTTCTCGGGCCCCTTGCTTGCTGCAACCCGCGCTCTCACAGCGCTCAACCCCCGCGCTCTCACAGCGCCTTCTCGGGCTCCTTGCTTGCTGCAATCCGCGCTCTCACAGCGCTCAACCCTTTGATACCTGAAACACTTCAGGGGGTAATGTTGAAACTAAGTAAGACCCGCTTCATAGTAACGGTGGAGGCAACCTGTGAGATTTGGTTTTCCTAAACATGAAGTTTTGCATCCTATTCCAACCAAATGCACTTCATGCTGGAACGGTGGAGGCAACCTGTGAGATTTGGTTTTCCTAAACATGAAGTTTTGCATCCTATTCCAACCAAATGCACTTCATGCGAGAACGGTAGTGGAGGCAAGCTGTGAGATTTGGTTTTCCTAAACATGAAATTTTGCATCCTATTCCAACCAAATGCATTTCATGCTGGAAACGCTCGTGCCGAAGGACAAAGCAGGTTTGGATCGTTCAAGCGACACGGCTTTGTTGGTTTCAGAGGTTTCCAAACAACTTATAAAAAAAAACTTTCTTCTCTTGTCAAAGAAAAACCTGTTTCTTCATGCTCCAATGGTCTGGCAGCACACGGACTTTAACGAAGTCCGTTTCCTTTGTATTCCAAACCACGGTTTTCAATCGGGCACAGTATCATTCACAATACGGCCTGTCGGCGTCTTTCCATCAAATGAAGCCAAATGCGGTAGAACCGGTGGCACCCCTGGAATAAGATATAATAAGACATTTTTTTCCAAGTGGGTCAGGCACACACACAGAACAGATCACCCAGGATGGGCCTCGCCCCTGTACAAGCCACAAGAACCGAGCAGACCCAAAGCACAAAGCACAATGCTAAGCACCGGCCAGTCATAGGAGGTAGTTCGGGGCACTAGCCAGCATGTAACGGCAGATTCGGAATATGCATTGTAGAAGTAGTATGCCCTTTATTTTTTTTGAATAAGCCTAGATTTTTCTCGTTTGGGCTGCTCTGTGTTGTAAGTTGGCGAGCCTGCTACCGTTTTCCACAAACTACATTTTGGCCAACGAGGCTAAACCCTAAACCCTAAACCCCATGAGCATACGCTATCTTTTGTGCCCGGGCTGAACACACCTTCGGTGCTAAGGCTGAGGCTTGTAACTTGTATATATTTGTATATGGACTCCGAAGCAACCGGGTGGTTTGGGGTTCCTTAAAGGGTTCCTTGCCGGGTTCTAAATCATATAAGGGTTCTTAATACGGCCCCGCAGGCAAGAGACTTTGCTGTGCACTCTGGTGTCTTTTGGGCTGTGGGTTAGTGTCCTCCCCAGGCGTCGATGCTTCTTTCAAGTTTGACGTCTCTGCAGCGCCGAAGCATCTCTAAATGCCATCTTCGACATGTCCGTCTGCAAGGTCTTTTTCATAAGCGCTGATGTTCGAAGTCGTAGCCATCGAAGAACAGACATAGTTGCAGATCTTGACCCCGCAAGGGGGTCCGCGCACGGGCGTGAAGCTGAGACAAAGGCTTCTTCATAGACAGGCGCGGCGCAGTCATGTTGAACCGTTCGCTTGCGGGAACCTTCTTTGAGTCGCCAGAGCGCCCAAGACCTTAGTTAAGGAATATACCTTATTAAACCATAATATCAAGGACCCTATAAGTTAAGGTGTCTTCCTTAACTAAGGGGTATTGGGCTTCTTTGGGTCGCTGTCCAACACGACAACCAGGGAGGGTGCTGTCGGGTCACGGCGGCCCTGTTAGGGGTGTGCCGATTTGACTTCGACCAACACGTCGCACAGATCAGAGATCTCGACGATGTTGCGACCCAGTGTGTATATATAGTATAACCAATCCCCAAAGCCCCAGACAAACAAGCAGATTAGCTGGCTTAGGGGTTTAATGGGTTTTGGCTTAGGGGTTTAATGGGTTTGGGCTTCAGGGCGACTGGCATTTCCAAAATCTGTAGCCTTGCGCTTACAACTTCACTAACTCACATGGCAGGTACCACTCATGTGCTTCAAAGCTTCGCGAGGCCTAGTACGGGAAGTGAGCACCGTTCCTCCCCCCCCCCTGCGCGACACTGCAGCCAAGACCTATCCACTGGACCCCAAGCGATGTTGGCGGAGACTAGAAACCCCTCACTACTCTTGACCCGTCTATGGTTCAAGGAATATTTCTTGAAGCAGAAAAGCCCAAACGGTGTCAATAGCCTGAAACCAGAAACAAAAACCCTAAACCCTAAAGCCTGAAACCAGAAACAAAAACCCTAAACCCTAAAGCCTGAAACCAGAAACAAAAACCGGCCCCAAAACACCTCGATAAACCGCAAAACCCTCAACCAGCAGACAAGGTCGGGCTCTGGGGAACCCTAACCCCTAAACCCTAACCCCTAAAGAACCTACCTTTTTTAAGGACTTATATAAAAGAAATCATCATAAGGAACCCTAAACAGGTAGGTTCTTTAGAGTCCAGGTACCTAAACCCTAAACCCTAACCCCTAAACGCTGACCCCTAAACCCTAACCCCTATAACCCTAAACCTTTCTGCCTTCTCGACTTCGCCTGCCCCCTTCCTGTCGGACCGGGATGGGAGTCGAGGCTCTCAGGGGGCTGTCGGGTTTAAAGTTTAGGGTTTTGGGGTTTTGCTGTTTAGGGTGTAGGGTTTATAGAGTTTAGGCTGTTGGGGTTTAAGGTTTTTGGGTTTAGGGTTTTCGGGTTTAGGGTGTAGGGTTTAGGGTGCAGGGTTTAGGGTTTTGGGGTTTAGGGTGTAGGTTTAAGGGTTTAGGCTTTTGGTTGTTACATAATCTGTGGGTAGTTCTCTAAACTCGTGTCCCTTTTAAGGTCCTTGATATATAAGGGTGCTGCATGGTGCCGTACTATTTTCAAAGTTTCAGAACTGCCCATATTATGCGGGGCACAGAAATTACAAGAGGATGTCGATGAGGCTTGGATGCTTTTTGAATGAGCGTGCAATAATGCGGTGTATAGTACACAGGGCCTTTAAACAAAAAAACCTAAGCCCTTATAAACCCTAAACCCTGTAAGCCACAGACTTCCCTAAACCCTAAACCCCTGAACCCTGCGAACCACACACTTCCCTAAACCCTAAACCCTAAATCAGGGTTAGGGTCGGGTCTAACCTTGTAAGTGGCATATGGCAGGAGATGGCTTGCACTACGCCAGGCACACACACACATACACACTCCGTGAAATCCGGATGCTCTTTCGGATTCCATGCTTTAAGATCTATATGCGTAGTTCTCTAAATTGGGGTCCCCTTATTTAGTTCCCCAATATAGTACGACACCCTTCTAAAAGGCACCCTAAAGCGGGACCCTAATTTAGAAAACTTACTACCCATAGTGGAAAAGGTGTCTCAAATAGAAAGCTATCAAACCCAGCACCTTAAACTGAGCAAAACCCTAAACCCTAAAACCTAAACCAAACACAGCACCTCCGAAGACCATCCCGGAGAAGGTAGACGCCATACCCACAAACTTCCCCAAACCCAATGCCCCTCTTAGCCCCATGGTTTGGGGCTTACAGTTTAGTACATTTAGGGTTTAGACCCTAAATTTCAGAAAGTTGGAACGCGGGTTTGGGATGATTGGTGCTAGGATCCCCGAAAGTTTACTTTGAGGGCATGAGGACTATACTGTTCCAACTATATGGCTTCTACTATGCACCTCCTAGCCCGAGAAGCCCTTTCTAGCCCTGGACCCTGTGCCACCTAAACCCTAAACCCTAAA